CTGAATTCAGTTTTTGTTAAATTATTTAGTGTTTTAATAATTATTATAATTAATTAATTTTTTTAAATTTTTTTTTTAGCATGCTATAATAGTAACATAATACGATATATATACTTACTGTCCTTATACCATTCAGATGAACAGATTCAGCTAATTGAATTTATGAGAGATAAGGTCATAATTATGTACTCAGACAAAACCAAAAGATCTTTTAATTTTTAAATTGTAGAATCAAATAAAGATATAACGGATCTTAAAAGTAAGGCAGCTAACAAACTAGATATGGTACTTGAGGTTAGTGAAGTGTCTAGTCAAGGCAATGACAAATATAAGGTCAAATTTGATGAACTAAAGGTGCTATTGAACAAAGGTATAAATTAATTAATATAATATACTATACTATTTATATTTGCTAATATAACTATTCATTTGTTGTTAAAAAGATGAAATTGAGCAGAATTTAGGTGATGATAATAATCAAAATTCAGAGGAGGAGAACAGCAAAAAAAGTAATAATAAAGAAGAAGATGCTAATATAATAGAGAATGACTACGAAGAGGAAGTCGATGAAATGTATAGAGGAGATATTGAAGGGACAGACCAGATAGATAAAGCAGAATTTGATCAGATAGAGGATGAAGAAACTAGCATTATAGAAAAAAGGAGAAAGAAAAAACATAAATGCAAAACATTAAGAAATAGTGGTATTTATATAATAAATAAATAAAAAAAAAAAATTAAAAAAAATTAAGAAAAAAAAATTAAAAAAAAATTAATTAAAAAAATTAATTAAAAAAATTAATTAATTAATATACAATTTTTTTTTTTTTAGAATTAATGATTAAAACTGCGAAACAAATTTTATCACCATGCAGTTTTGAATCTACAAGATTTCAACGAATAGCAAAAGAATTTAATTTAAATATTATAAATTGTAGTTTAGCACTAAGTGCAGTAGTACTCAGATCCAATTTAAAAAAGATCGAAGTATTTCCCGAAAAAGGAAAAGCAGTATTAAAGAATGAAAATTGATAAATCACTCTTGAACTAGCAAATTATAAAGTAATTAAAGAAGTGGTCAATAATCTCGAATAGCCAAAATTCATACGTACAAACTGGGACAATATTAATCTAACAGACACTTTGGGTTTTTATGCTGAATATGAAAATTCCCAAAAAAATGGACTTTTAAATAGTAATAAGCTCAAAATAGCTAATTTATATCATGAGTTTCTTTTTTTGCAAAGTGGATTACCTGTAGTAGCTCCATTTTTTGATCCCAATTCTGGGGTCCAAAAAATGGAGTACTTCAGGAACATAATGGATTTTCTGAAAATAGTAATCCAACAAAGAAACTCTACCTATTCAGTCCAATTCGATACCTCATTAATCTGTAAAGCTCTCAAACTGAATCTATTCTAAGAACAAGAAGTAACTCCGTTAATAGAAGAACAGGAAATACCTCTGTTAATAGAAGAAGCTGGAAATATACAAGATGAAATCTTATTATTAAGAAGGCACCAGGACTACCATCTAGTCTTAGTGTTAATCATTTTTTAAATTATAATACTGAAGTATCTAACCAAATATCAATATTCTCAACACTCATGACAACGTGTTATTAATCAATTCATAAGGTTGATATTAGTTCATATTATTTGGAGGTGACAAGATGCATGTTCTTAAGATTCTTATACGAATTTGAAGAAGCTTATACCTTCTTGAAGAGATAGGTTTCAAACTTTGCCACTAGATCTAAAGGCATAAAATCGGCAATGTAAGTGCATTCACTTTTAACCGGTAAAACCTCAATTAATCAACTCTTTGAAATAAACTCGACAAAATCTGACCTGTTCAATATTAAACATATAGCCTACGAAAAAAAGAGAAAAAGAAGTATAGAATCAGATAATATTTTAATAAATATTCCCAGATTTTCTGATACAATTGCATTAAGAAAACTCAATACATTTACTATAGCAGGCCCAAGATTAATGTAATTATTTAAAACATTAAATAACAATTGGACTACTTTAGACTTAGTCAATAATGTAACGATAACTTGGCTTGAGAACTTTCGCAATAAAGAATAGACAGCTTTTATTAACCAAATTAAAGATAATTTTATTAATATTAATATACTATATAATAAATAAAATACTAATAATAATTTTTTTAGGTGATAGTTGAAAGACAAAAAAAAAAAAAAAATCAATTACCT